AAGGCAGACGCTTAATGACTGAGCCACCCAGGCGCACTCCTGTTTCCTATCTTGCAGGGATTCAGCAAAACCTTCATGCCCCCAAAGACATAGCTTTAGGTTTTTGATATATTTTTTAAAGATTTTATTTATTTATTTGAGAGAGCTCAAGTGAGCATGAGCGGGGGGAGGGGCAGAGGGAGAAGCTGACTCCCCACTGAACAGGGAGCCCAATGCAGGACCCTGAGATCATGACCTGAGCTGAAGGCAAACGCTTAACCCACTGAGCCACCCAGGTGCCCCAGGTTTTTGAAATTTTAAAGTCTTCATAACTTAGTAAAGCCAGATCAGAAACTGTTCTCCTTTAAGGAATGTTCAGTAAACATGACCTTTTGAATTTTAGATAGAAGCTCCCACAATGACACCAAGTCAACAGCTTTTCTCAGAAGCGTCCCCAGAGATACACACAGTGGTGAGCACTAGGACAGAACTATTCTAAATCCTCCTTCCATGGCCCACTGATAAACTTCAATGCTTTATTATGGTTTTAGGTAATTACACTTCTCCCTGCCACCTGGTTTAGTGTAAACTACATTTTTAGTTGCTAGCACTGAATTCATGTGTACGTCCGTGGAAAAAGAGGAAGGATGAAGTGAAGCTGGCCAGATATGTTTTAAGCAGGAAATGCAGGATATCAATAATTCTAAGCCACTACCAACTGCTGAGATTTATCTCTGTAATCACATCATTCTCCCTCAGGTACTACTTATTCCTTGTTTTTGAAGATTTTTTTCCTCTGGAGATTTCCAAGCTCACAATCCCAGGACAAGATGACTGAATCCCTTTTTTCGGACTTTGGCTTGCTGTGGTACCTGGAGGAGCTCAGAAAGGAAGAGTTCTGGAAATTTAAGGCGCTCCTCAAACAAGAGCCTCTGCAACTTGACCTCAAGCCAATCCCGTGGACTGAGTTAAAGAAGGCTTCAAGAGAAGATCTAGCGAAGTTGTTGGACAAGCATTACCAAGGAAAGTGGGCATGGGAGGTGACCCTGAACCTATTTCTACAGATTGATCGGCGTGACCTCTGGACAAAGGCTCAGGAGGAGATCAGAAGTAAGTACAGGGTGAAGGGGCAGTGACCTACGGAGGAAGGTTGGTCTGCTGGGAGCTTGTAAGAATGAAGGTGATGTTATTGAGTTAGTGGCCATCCTCCATCAATTGAGAATGTGTTGTGGGTTGAGGGAGGCTTGGAGGTCATGGAGGAATTGCAAGCCAACTCTGGGCATACATGGGCTAGTGATGGACTGTGGATGGGTAGTGTCCTGCTCATCTAAGGGGTGTTTCCCCATTTTTAGGCAGTTCCTAAGCAGCAAGCCACTGTTAGGTCAGCTTGCCACATGTCCATAAGTTTGGTCTGAAAAGACATAATGAGCCCAGATGGATTTAGAAGGTTCATTGCTCACCCACAACAGGAACATGAGATTCATGCTCATGTCCATTCCTCTCATCCCTTGAATCTCTCAGCAGGGGGCTATGGAGGTGAGTTCAGGCAGATCTGTGTCATAGAAACCTAGAGAGTCAGAGATCCTGATCTTAGGTGATGCCTGCTGACAGCCCTGTCCCCTGCCCTCCAGAGACAGATACTAGCTTTGTTACCCTAGCATGTCTCCAGAGAGTGAGAGACATCTCTGAATTTCTCCAGAGGGGAAAGAAAGACCTGTTTTTAGAAACAAATCTTCCTTTGCCCCAGAGAGAGGAAGGACCACTGGTACATCCCAAGAATGTTTTCTAGTCATACATCCCTGAACAAAACCATTAGTGCCCTTTGCTTGGAAGGCATGCAGAAATTCCTCACCTAGTGTGGCATATATTTCTCTGGTGCAGGGTATGATCCTTGTCCACTTTTGTAATTTTGTTGACCTCCCATAATGTGGTGCCTTGAACATGGAAGGTACATCATAAGGGCGGGTTGAATGCATGATGGTTTAGGGGTTGGTTTCTGAAATTAACCTGTGATCAGCATGGTGGAACAGAAATCGCTTATTGTTTCAAGTCAGACAGTTGTGGGACAGACACCTGACCCTGATATTTATTCACTAGTGCAAATTAATCAAGTGATATATTCTCCCAACACTTTTTTGGTAAAGTGGGAGTAGAATGAGTCTTGATGGGTTATTGACATGGAAGACATGGTATCGGTAGGGACATTCTCAACCCTGGTTCCCGGTGGACACTCAGTAAATGATATAGTGCTTGTGGATTCTTTACTGGGGAGATGCGACCACCCCCCTTCTGGTTTGGAATGGAATTCACACTATGTAGCCTATAACTCTGAGACAGGCTTCCAGTTTTGGTCAAGTGCTTCCATGGACATGATTTTAGATAAATTATGGTCCTAACGAAAACTAAGTTAATGAGCCTGGTCATCCGTGGACATGCAGTAGTCTTTACATATGTGCACAAGTAAATCTCTAAGGGTCATTCTGAGTGTCAACGAGTGCACTTTTTAATTGTCTTGTATTTTCTCCCTGTGAACTCAGATAAACCCAACCCATACAGAAATCACATGAAGGAAAAATTCCACCTCCTATGGGAAAAGGAAACCTGCCTTCTGGTTCCCAATGATTTCTACAAAGAAATCACAAAGTGTGAGTATGAAAAGCTGCATGCTGCATACAGCACCAGCCAGGCAGGAGAGCCTTCACCCACTGTGGTCTTGCAAGGTCAGAGGGAATCAGGAAAACAACACTTTTGAGAAAAGTGATGCTGGAACAGGCAGAGGGGAACCTATGGAAGGACAGATTCACATTTATCTTCTTCCTCAATGGCTGTGAAATGAACGCTATGACCAAGACCAGCTTCGTGGAGCTCATCTCCAGGGACTGGCTTCAGTCTTCAGAGCCAGACGAGGACATCTTCTCTCAGCTGGAGAGGATCCTGTTCATCATGGATAGCTTTGAGGAACTGAAATTTGACTTGGAGCAAACGACTCAGTTGTGCGATGACCAGAGACAGCGACAGCCAATGCAGATTATCCTGAGCAGTTTGCTGCAGAAAAAAATGCTTCCAGAGTCTTCTCTGCTTACTGCATTGGGAATAGTGGGCATGAGAAAAAATTTCTTGTTGCAGTGTCCAAAATACATAACCCTCTCAGGATTCTCTGAACATGAAAAGAAGCTGTATTTCTACCATTTCTGCCGCGAGAGGAGTAAAGCCCTGAAAGCCTTCAGTTTTGTGAGGGGCAATATGCCGCTGTTTCTCTTCTGTCATGATCCCCTGGTATGCTGGTGGGTCTGTACTTGTATGAAATGGCCGCTGGAGAGAGGAGAAGACCTTGACATTGTGTCTGAAAGCACCGCTTCTTTGTATGCATCCTTTTTTATTAGTGTATTCAAATCAAGAAATGAGAACTGTCCACCGAAGCAGAGCAGAGCCTGACTGCAAGGCCTGTGTTCCTTGGCTGCAGAGGGAATATGGACTCGCATGTTTGTGTTTTGCCATGGGACCTCAGGAGGAATGGGGTATCTGAGTCCGATGCCTTGATGTGGATGGGCATGAGACTCTTCAAGGGATGGCGAATGCTTTCCCTTCATACATGTGTGCCTCCAACAGTTTTGTGCCTCCATGTTCTATCTGCTCAAAGAACCCAAGGACAATCCTAACCCGGCCATTGGAAGTGTGACCCAGCTTGTGACAGCAAGCACGAGTCGGGTCCAAGGCCACATGTCCCAGATGATAACATTCTTGTTTGCATTTTCAACTGAAAAAATAACCAACATGCTGGAGACATCCTTTGGTTTTCTCCTGGCCAAAGAGATAAAGCAGGAAATAACCCGATGCCTTAAAAGTTTAAGTCAGCATAACTCTGGTCAGGAGGTGGTGAATTTCCAGGAATTGTTCAGCAGTTTGTTTGAGACCCATGAAAAAGAGTTTGTAGCACAAGTGATGGATTTCTTTGAGGAAGTTAGTGTTTATATTGGTAACACAGAAGACTTGGTGATATCTGCATTCTGCCTAAAACTTTGCCAAAATTTGCAGAAACTTCACCTGTGTATAGAAAATGTCTTCTCAGATGACTCTGGATCCAGCACAAAGTGAGTCCATCTATAATCTCTCCCACCCCCCATGCCACACACGCCATACTTGTTGCTTGTTTCAGGTCCCAGTGGATACTTCATGGATCCTTATACTTAAAAAAACCGCCCCCCAAAACCCATGGCTTTTGTAACCAGAGAGACTTCGCTTTGAATTCTGGCTCTGGCATTTGCTAGCTGTGTCACCAAGAACAGTAACTTCTTAAGTTTTTCTATCTGTATAAAGAAGCGTGACACTTTACCTACTTGGTGGGGCCAGTATGAGGTTGAAAGGTAAGCAGCTTTTACTGTTGCCATGACTATGCTTCCCGCTGCCCCCATAGCATTTGAGCGTATCTATCAGGAAGGGACTCTTGGAAGCTTGTGAGTGGTTTCCTTGGGCTTCTCCTCTTTGCTGGTCTAACCTGTGTCTTTTCACCAGCTGGTTCAGATTACCAACTCACACTTCAGTTCTGATAGTCTATTAATAAATTATTTTTACTCTTCCAAAAAAAAAAAATATATCACCTTTCACGGTCACACTTTTGGTTTTTAGTTTTTTAAATTGAGGTATAGGGCGCCTGGGTGGCTCAGATGGTTAAGCGTCTGCCTTCGGCTCAGGTCATGATCCCAGGGTCCTGGGATCGAGTCCCGCATCGGGCTCCCTACTCCTTGGGAGCCTGCTTCTCCCTCTGCTTCTCTCTCTCTCTCTGTCTCTCATGAATAAATAAATAAAATCTTTAAGAAAAAAAAATAAAAAATAAATTGAGGTATAATTGACACATAACATTATACGAGTTTCAGGTGCACAACATCATGATTCAGTATTTGTATATGTTGCAAAATGATCACCACGATATGTCTAGTTAACAGCCGTCACCATGCATAGTTATACAATTTTTTTTTCTTGTGATGAGAACTTTTTTTAAAGTAAACTCTATACCCCACGTGGGGCTCGAACTCATGACCCCAAGATCAAGAGTTACATGCTCTTCTGACTGAGTCAGCCAGGTGCCCCATGATGAGAACTTTTAAGATCTGCTCTCTTAGCAACTTTCAGATATGTAGTACAGTATTATTACCTACGGTCACCAGGCTGTACATGACATCCCCAAGGCTTTATTTTATACCTGTATGTTCTTATTTTTGGATATAGTTCTCCATTTCACTGGTGGATCACCAAATACCAACCTTCATTTACACCACTAAGCTTTGTTACCTAACGGAGGAAGAAGTATAGACTGAATACGGTTGAGTAGCTTGTCCAGAGTCACACAGCTAATAAGTGGTTCAGATGGGGTTTGATCCCAATTACTCTGGCATCAGGGTCCATTTCCTTAACCACTAGGCCATATTGACTCAGTGTACCTGGCTGCCCCTCTCCTTGTTCAGGCATGGGTGTCCATGCGTCAGCTTTGAGGGGCCCTGAAAATGGCGTTCTGCTTGTTTTGTGAATGTGTTGAGTTGCTTTGAGCCATTGGAGAGTCACAGTCTTTGTTCTCCCCGTAGTCTCAGTAAGAAGCTCTCCTTTTGGCGAGACCTTTGCTCTGTGTTCACCACCAACAAGAACTTCCAGATGGTTAGATTTGGACAACTGTAATTTCAGTGAAGCCTCCCTGGCGATTCTCTGTAAGGCTCTGGCTCAGCCTGTTTGTAAACTCCAAAAGTTCATGTAAGTTGGATGTTAACTGTTCTTTAAATAACTGAGTTTCATTCTTTCTACTCTGGCTTTTTTGGAAAGGCCAATGTGTAAGCACAGAGCTACAATCCAATGTCTCAAGAAAAGTTTTGGATCACTTGCCCTGATACCAATGTTATATTGAGCAAGAAGAAACTGTTGGCAAATGGGGGGGGGACTTCAGAACCAAACATTGTCAAGGGGCTCAGGCCCCAGTCACCACAGGTCAGTTTCTAAGCACTAATGGGGAAGTGCTTGGTTTTCTGCGCCACAGAGCACTCCCCTTCTCAGCGCACCAGCTCACTTGCGTGTAGCCTGTTAGTAGAAAGCTACAAGTTCACGTTGGCACAAAGAAAGTGTAAGTTTTTAAAGCAGAGTATGCATTTCAGGGACATCAGTCTTTCGTTTGGATTACATGACCATGTGTGTTTTGGTTTGGGGGTACGTTTGGGAGTTTTTCTCTAACAGATGTTTTATTTATTTATTTATTTAAAGATTTTAGTTATTTATTTGACAGAGAGACACAGCGAGAGAGGGAACACAAGCAGGGTGAGTGGGAGAGGGAGAAGCAGGCTTCCCGTGGAGTAGGGAGCTCGATGCGGGGCTTGATTCCAGGACCCTGGGATCATGACCTGAGCCGAAGGCAGACGCTTAACAACTGAGCCACCCAAGTGCCCCAACTCTAACAGATGTTTTAAATGTAGTGGTTGGAGAGCCGCAGAGGGAATTTGGTGACACTTGCTGGGATGTTGATGGGTGAATAGATGTTTCCCAGGTAACGAAGGGACCAATGGGAAAATAGCCTTAAGTTCATGAAGGAAAAAAATAATAAGAATAGACATAGAGACTAGGCAGCATTTATAAAACAGCTCTTTAGCACAGAGCTGGCCGCTTTAGGCACATTCCTTATCTGTATTGTTTCCTTTTAATCCTCAAACGGTCTCACTGTCACCTTAATACAGATCACACACAGAAGCCCAGAGGAGCACACAGCTACTCCCTGGTACTTTGGATATCTGGGTTTGCCTGGGTCATGTTCTTCTCTTCACCCCCAGAAGTTTATCTCTTTCAGCTTAAATGTAACTCCTCCTTCAGCTCAAAGCTTACTTCCTTTTTTTTAAAGATTTATTTCCTTATTTGAGAGAGTGGGGGGAGGGGCCGAGGGAGGGAGCATCTCAAGCAGACTCCCTGCTGAGCAGGGAGCCCAAAAGTGGGGCTCGGTCCCAGGACCCTGGGATTATGACCTGAGCTGAAATCAAGAGTTGGCCACTTAACCTACTGGGCCACTCAGGTGCCCCAAAGCTCACTTCTTCATGGAAGATTTTCTATGCTCCCAAAGCACTTTTTATATGTCTTTTTTTGGTCATAGTTATCACACATCTAATTATTGATTGCTGTCTTTGTGCAGAAGAGTTAATATAGTAGGTCTGAGACTGTTGTCCTTAGAAAGGCCTGCTTACTAGGTTGGCTCTTGGCTGGCATGTTGGAACTTGGGTTTTGGGGAGAATTCCCACCACCCTAACTGATAAGAAGGGCTCACTGTTCCCATACTGTGTAAACAATGTGGTTTATGCTGAGACTTGTTGTCCTTCTGTGAGTCTGAGATTTTGGCTCGTGCTGGGCAGTGGGTGCCTCTGTGACCATCCCGATAAACACCCTGGGTGCTGAGTCTCCAACAAGCATCCCTGGTAGATGACTTTTCACATGCATTGTCACAGTGTGTTGCTGGGGGAATTTGGCTCGTCCAATGGCGACTCCATTGGCAAAGACCCTTGGAAGCTTGCACCTAGTTTCCTCTGGATTTTGCCCTTGTGCCTTTTTCCTTTGTGGATTTTGCTTTCTGTCTTTGCACTGTAATCAATCATAGCCATGAGTGCAACTATATGCCAAGTCCTGTGGGTCCTAGCAGGTCACTGAAGCCAGGGGAGGTCTTGGGGACAGTGTTTCTGTGTTGAGTACACCACCATGATGGGAGAGGTGATACCTCTTTGTCCTCATATCTCCACCAGCTAGCAAAACACAGAGCTTTGTAGGGGCTCATTAAATATCTGTTGAATGAATGAATGGATCCCTGTATTATGAAAATGGGTTCTTTATTTCAGATAAGGAAACTGACTCAGAAATGAACTGGTAAAGACCCCACACAGAGTAAAATGTGGGTCATTGAACTTTTGTTTTCTTCTGGGAAATGTGTTAAAGATAAAGTAGGGGACTGGTGTGCTCATAAATGGGCTTTTAGCATATGAATTTTAGTGCCAGATATGAGGAATAGTATAGCAAGGGAGAGGTTGTGAGTGGGCTCGAAAGTGAGCAGTCTGTCGGTGAATTAATTAATTAATTAATTAATTTTATTGGTGAGTTTAGATGCGGTCAATGTGATGACCACATGAAGGAGATGAGTAATTCGAGACATCCAGGTGAAGGCATGAATTAAATTGTGCATGTCTTCCCTCAGGTTGCAAAATGAGGAAGAGAGTTTCTCTTCACAGTGTACATGGAAACCAGTCATTGGTATTATACCTAAAGTTCTTTAGCTTTAGCTTTAATATCACTGGATTCATTTTTAAGTGGTCAAACAAGATAGAGATGATGAGTTTGGCCATTTGTCCTCCCAAATATCTAGCCATATGTCTTGGAATCAAGACATAGTATTCCTTCTCTTTCTTCTCCTATACATGCGATTTTAAAACAGTGTAATTGAGGGAAGCCTGGGTGGTCAGTCTGTTAAGCGTCTGCCTTTGGCTTAGGTCCTGGTCACAGGGTCCTGGGATCGAGCCCCACATCGGGCTCCCTCTGCCCCTCCCCTCTGCTTGTGCTCTCTCTCTCTCAAATAAATAAATAGAAATCTTAAAAAAACACAAAAACAGTGTAATTGCTAGGATGAATAAAGAATGGGGAGCCTGGCTCATTCCCTGAACTTCAAATCCAATCTCTGTCCAGGCATGGGGTTTGAGGAATGTGGGAGGTAATTGTATTTGGGAATAGACCAATCTGTCTGTGATTCCTTGGGCCGTAACCCCTCTGTGAGCCAGGGAATCCATCCTTTTCTCTCAGTCTCTGCAGCTGCCACCTGACCTCCAGAAACCAGCACCACTCACCTGGGATGGTCACTCCAATCACCTCTGCCTCAGTGTCTTGGATCCTGTTTTGTCTTCCATCAATGTGTGTTTTCTTTCTTCCATATACAAGCCAGAGCAATCTTAAAAAATAACATACACCTTAAAATCCTTTCCCTGATTTCCCATAACTAGGAAAAAAAATTCTACTGGGCGTGAAGAGAAGAGCATGGCCATGTGGTCTGATCCCTTCCTTCCCCCTCGTTTATTCTCCACATCAGGCTGTGGCCTGAGGACAGTAACTCTCTTTCAAGCCCTTGACCAAGCTCATTTCTGCTTTGGAAACTTTGTTCTGACTCTCCTCGTTTCTGGACAGTCTTTCTCTAGACTTCTGCTTGGCAAGCGCTTCCAAATGCTTTCTCTGACCATCACTCCCCCAAACTGAGCAACCCCCACCCCAGTCACTCCATAACTGCATCCTGTGGCTCTTGTCATGAAATTGTGTCTTCCCCTTTGTCTTGCATCTCTCCTGAGTATGGGATGATAAGTTCTGTGAGTGCCTGGTCCTGGACCATCCCATTCACAGCTATACCCTCCACACACCTTGGCCCACGATTGGAAGGTCAGGATTTGCTGGATGAAGAGAGGGCACAGGTAGTTTGTGGTGGTTGCATAGTTTAAGGATCATCCTTTAAAGCAGAAGATCTTGTGTCAATAAGTATCTGTATTTTTCTCTGGGAATGTCTTTAGAGTGTGGGCCTTTCTTCTGTTACTTACCCACCTCCCATCTTACACCAATGCTACCTCTCATGTAGGTATCACAAAACACCAAATTGTTACTGAAGAGTGTGTGGCCACTTTGGACAACTTCACTGATTTCTTAGCTTATTCATGCTTCTGTGTCTTGTTCTGTCCAGTTGAGTTCATTGTTCTCTCTACGTCATTGTGTCCAGTGGCTTTTCCAAGAGACTCTATGAGTCCAAAGTTGGAGTAAATTTGAGACTAACATCCTCTCCCTTTTAATGGTACCCTTTAATGATGAGAATGCACATTGAATATTGGAGATGTTTTTTCCTTATTTCTTTGAGTCTATTGGTTTATTTCTCAAATCCAGCTTTGTAGAGTAGAGATTTTCTCCCCAGTTTTATGGAGGTATAATTTATATATAATACTGTATTAGTTTTAGGTGTACGACATGATGATTTGATAAATGTATACATTGTGAAGTGATCTGGTGCTTCACTTCACAGAGTGACACATTTTTTTTCTTTTTTTTAAATTTAAAAAAAAATT